ACCTCCTCCTGGCGCCTCACCTCTCTGTGGGGTGGGCCTGGGGTCTTGGGGGCTGGAGGGTCTCACGGCTGGAGGTCCCAGGTGGAGGTGGCGTTTGGGGAAGGTTTGAGGGGGGAACTGCTGGGCGAGGTGTCCCGGGGAGGGGATGGAGGTGTCACCTCCCAAGCTCTGCTGATGCCTTCGTGTTCCCTGCTCTGCAGCTCCCACGGTGCTGGTTGATGTGCTCCCCTCTGACCCCGTCATGCAGGAGGAGATCTTTGGCCCCGTCCTGCCCATCGTCACCGTAGCCAACGTGGATGAAGCCATCGGGTTCATCACCAGCCGTGAGAGGCCGCTGGTGGTTTATGCCTTCTCCTCCAGCAGCAAGGAAGGCCCTGAGGGTTGGGCAGGGCCAGGGCCGGGCTTGGGAGCCCAGCTGCTCCAGGAGGATGGGGTGATGCTTGACGAGTGCTGCCTGTGGAGCCAAGAGGGCAAGAGCCATGTCCAGCTTCTCTGGAGGAACCCTACGCTTGCCTCCTGCTCCTTGGCAGGTGGTTTTTGGCCGTGTTCACACTCCAGGAATGTTCTGGAGGGCAGGCAGCCCTGGGACTGCAGCTGCAGGTGCAGGAGCAGTGATGAGACCCACCTGCATCACCTCTGCTTCCTTCCCAGGTGGTGAACCAGGTGCTGGAGAGGACCAGCAGTGGTGGCTTCTGTGGCAACGACACCCTGATGCACTTCATGTTGACCTCGCTGCCCTTCGGGGGGATCGGTAGGTCCAGATCCAGATGTGACCCCCCCCCATGGTGCCTGGGCCTTGCTGGCCAGGGTGAGGAAGGGTCCTGGGGTTGCTGGAGCACCCAGGAACCCACCTGGAGCTCCCTGAGGTTCCCTCTCTCCACGTTCACCATCCCAAGGGTAGCTCCTCGTGGGCGTGTGGCCCCGTCCTGGTGAGAGGGCAGGGAATTTGGAAGGTGGCCACCACAGAAACATCTCTAGACCTTCCTTTCCACATGCAGTGCCCCTCTAGGCAGGAGAAAGCTTGGAATTCCAGCTCAAGAGTGTCAGGTTTTCATGGATCGAGGCAGCCAGGGAGGCTGTTGCTCTGCTTCCCACAGTGTCTTGGTCTCCTCTGTATCTCCACTGGGCTGTGGTTTTAGGTTTCCACTCCAGGAGCTCAACCAATCATGAGAGGAGTCACATGGAGCAAGGAAATGAAGCTGTAGCTCCCATAGGATGTTTTCTCCCAGCCCAGTCTTCTTTTTCCAAATGCCCCCCCCTCCCTGGCTCCATCTGGATGTCTAAAGGCCACCTCTGTGGTCTTCTAGATCCCTTCCCATGGAAGCTTGGCCTGGTGTTAGAGGGCAGCTGGATGAGGACGTGGTGCCATCCAGACACTGTCACAAAGGGGTGGGTTTGGGAGGGACCTCTGGAGATCATCCATCCCACCCCCCTGCCAGGCAGGAGCACCTATGGCAGGTCCCACACGGCCAGATGGGTTTGAATGTCTCCAGGGAAGGAGGGTCCACAGCCTCTCTGGGCAGCTCTGTCACCCTCACAATCAAGAAGTTCCTCCTCATGTTCAGCTTGCCCCTCCTGTGCTCCAGCTGCTGCCCAGGGCCCCTCGTCCTGTCCTTGGACACTGCTGAGAAGAGACTGTTCCCACCCTCATGACACCCACCAAGTGCTCTCCATCCCTCCTGGGAGCTTCATTTTCCTCAGCCCCAAGGGTGGGTGGGTGGACACCAGACCCACCAAGGCCCTGTGCTGTCTTGTTGCAGGGAACAGTGGCCTGGGGAGGTACCACGGCAAGTTCACCTTCGAGACCTTCAGCCACCAGCGGGGCTGCCTGCAGCGCAGCATGGGCCTGGAGCCCCTCAACAGCCCCCGGTACCCCCCCTACAGCCAGCAGAAGCTGGGGCTGATGATGGCCGCCTTCGAGGTCAAGCGCAGGGGCATCTGCACCCTGCTCTGAGGACACCCCCCTTGCTCATGGACTGG